GACAGCAACTGCTGGGAAAACCGGAAAGCACCTTGGTAAGAATTAGCTTTAGATTGGTGCCTTATACCATATGCCACAATGAGCTCTGAATGGTTATACAAACTGAATGTTAAAGGTCACACCTTAAAAAAATTAAGAAGGCTGTATTTCCCTCTTTTCAGCTTCTACCCATTTTTCTTAATTCTATTCTCTGGGGCCAAGCGATTCTAATTTTTTAAATGATTAAATTGTATTTTTTCAATTAACACAATTTTCTTTCCCTTTCCTCCCACTATTAAAAAGAAAAATGAAAAACAATGTCTTTGTAACAGATATGTATAATCAAGCACAACAAATTTCTTCATTGACCAAGTCCAAGAACTATGTTTCATTCTACACTTTGAGTCAGTGAGCAACATGTTTCATCAGAAATCCTCTGGACTTGTACTTGGTCATTGCAGGGACCAGAGTTTCTAAGGCTTTCACAGTTATTTTGTTTTTTCAGTATTGTTCTTAATGTGTAAACTGTTCTCTTGGTTCTGCTCATTTCATTCTGCATCAGTTCATGCAAGTCTTCTTTGGCTTCTCTGAAAGCATCCCCTTCATTGTTTCTTGTAGTAAAATAGTGTTACATTATACTTGTATGCAATAATTTGTTCAGCCATTCCCCACTACATGGCCATCCCCTCAATTTCCACTTCTTTGCTGCTACAGAGAGAGCCCCCGTAACTATTTTTGTGCACATGGGTCCTTTACCTCTTTCTTTGTTTTTTTTGGGGGATAGAGCCACTGGTGGTGTCACTGGGCCAGAGTGTGCAGTTTAGTAACTTTGGGGGCGTAATTCCAGATTGCTTTCCAGAATGGTTAAGACGAGTCCAGAGCTCCATCAGCAGTGCATTAATGTGCCTGTTTTCCTGCAGCCCCTCTAGCGTTTGTTATTTTCCCTTTTTGTCGACTTTGCCAATCTGATGGGTATGAGATAGAACCTTAGAGTTATCTTAATTTGCATTTCTCTAATTATTAGTGAGTGGAGCATTTTTTTAATATGACTGTTGATAGCTTGGATTTCTTCCTTAGCAAACTGCTCACATCCTTTGGCTATTTACCAGTTGTGAATGGCTCTTAGTCGTATGCATTTGAATCAGTTCCTTATGTCCTAGAAACAAGCAATTCTAACAGTAATTCTAGTTGCTCTTCCACTTGACAGTCTTTCCTTAAAGATGCTGTCGTGTCTCTCCTGTGTCTTTTGGTTCCTCTCACTGACCCTGTTTTGGTATAAGTTGGCGGCTCTTCATCTCCCACATTTCGTTGACCCTTCTAAAATGTGAGTTCCCCATTTGGTGCCCCTGGCCAAGGCAGAGGCCAGTGGGACTATCCGTTTCGTGTTCCCAGATGCTTTGCCTTTAGCGATGTAGTCTGAGATGGCATTTGTCTTCTGGGCTTTTCTGTCATACTATATCCCAGCCAGTTTTTGGCCCTCTGAAACCCCTAGCTCTTTGTGATATATGGAATCGTAGATCTGGAGCTGGAATGCCATCTGGTCTAACCCCTGTATTTTACTGATGGGGGAAACTGAGTCTCAGAGAAGTTAAAAGGCTTGCTCAGAACTACCTAGTAAGTATCAAATGTAGGATTTGAACCCAAGTCCTCAGACTCCAGAGCTAGTGCTTTCCCTCTGGATCACACTGCCTCTCAGATACATGCTGCTCTCTAGCCATTGCCTCATCCGTCTTGTACTTTTGAGGTGAATTTTGGAACCCGAGTTAGCACGTTACATATCTCTGTTAAAATTCACCTTCCTGAGTTTGGCTCACTTCTGAATCCTGACTCTCATTCATTTCATTAGCTATTCCTCTCAGTTCTGTGTTAGCTGGAAATTTGTTCAGTATGCCATCTCTGCCTTTCTGAAAGGGCTGGACCTCCCAGGCAGGGTCCCATAGGCTAGAAAGGAAGAAATAAAGCTGTTGCCTTAGTAGTTGTTTGATAGATGGTCTTGTAAATTAGAGAGTTTTCAGCAAAGGACATTTGACTCTTTCTTGGGAACAAATCAGAACTCCAGACGTAAGTTCATTGTGTGTTTAAATAAGCAAGCATCCTGAAATCAAGATGACCTGTGGCATGTTCTTGCCCCATGTGGCAAGGATGGCATTTCTCAGGTCGTGACTGCAGTGATATATTTGAAAGATGCATGGTGGTTTGTGTTGTCTTAGGGAAGAGACATATGTGAGAAGGAATGGGGAATTAATAGCTTGTAATTATAGGTCGGGATGCTATACATTTAACAAAAAAAAATAAAATTGGTGCCAGTCTTACTTTAAAAACAAAACAAAGTTTGATCCCTAAGAGCTTTCAAGTGCTTTTAGATGGTTTCATCTCTCAGAAGACAGATTGGATTTTTTGGCACCAGAAATGCTAAAGGGGGTGACTGTGTACTCCCCTATGCTTAAGTCTCTGGATTTCAAGTCAAAATGATAAAATGTAACACCTGACTGTTTTCTTAATCCATCATTTGGCATGTTCTACAGTCACATAAGGCAGTGGTGTTTTTCACCAGGCGCCTTGCTATTTTTTAACAGGACACTGTCTGAATGCCATCTCTTGATTTCTAGACAAGTTCAGAAGAACAGAAATAATTTAAAAACTGTTACCCACAAATCCATGAGATATGGTGAATTATGCTCCTGCTCAGATTATCCGGCTATCCATGTATCTGCCAATCTATTATTTGTCTGCTACACATACACGCACACACACACACACACACACACACACAGAGCTATTAGAAGACTATTTTCTTATTCTGATGATTATCACCAAACTCTGGCTTATTCTGAGACTGACACTAAAATTTGTGGATCTCTCATCACTGAAATTCACTTTCAGTAAACATTTACATCTCCTGGTGCAGAGCACTGTCCTAGGTGCTGGGCAGGCTGTGAGGTTTAGAATGGGGTCTCTGGCATGGGTTGACCCAAACCCTGATAACTGATACCAAATAATACCTGATGAGTATGTAAGAGGAACACAGAATACTGAGTGACATCTTAGGAGGAGGAGAAGCTTGTCATTGACCAGTGGGAGTTAGGAAAGGCTTCGTGGAGATAGTGGGGCTTAGAAGAACAGCAAGGGATTCAGCAGGGGGAGAGAGGAAAACATTCCAGACCAGGGAACAGTGTGAGCAAAGACAGAAAAGTGGGAAAGGGCAGGGCATGCACTGGGACCAGTTGGGCCTGAGCCCGATTTGGTGGGGATTTAGCATGAGAGAACATGAGACAGGTCAGATTGTGGAGGACCTTGACTGCCAAGCCAAAAAAATGAGACTTTTGCCCAGAAGACCTCAAAGAATAGCTGGAGGGTATTAAGCAGAAGGATGATGTGATCAGATCCATGGACTAGGAAGATTAGCCTGACAGACGTGAGAAGGATGGATGGAGAGAGGAGGGGAAGAGCAGAGGTCAGAAAGCTGCCATTGCAGTAGTTGAGACAGACAGTAAGGAAGATTTGTACTCGGGTGACGCAGTGGAACAGAGAGGATGGTAAGGAATGCAAGAGGAGATTGACTTTTTCAAATACGATTTTATTGCTCTCTTTTTATTGTAACATCACCTGCATTTCCCAATTTATTCTCCATTCCCTCTTCCCCGGAGAGCCATCCTTTATAACAAAGAATAGGAAAGGAAAAGAAAAATTTGACCCAACTAACCAATGCATCTCCCACTCAGGCGCCCCCACCTTTGCAAAGGGAGGCCTGCTGCCTTCTTGGACTGTGGAGGTAGACTTGATAATACTTGGTAACTGATTGAATGTGAAGACAGAGAAGGGAAGTCAGTTTTCCACCTTGGAAGATGGGATGAATAGTGGTGCCACTGGCAGATGTAATGGCAGAAGGAAGAAATTTGGGGCCGAAGAGGATAAGCTCAGTTGAAGATGATGAGTTGGAGGTTCTGCGGGGACATGAAGGTGCAGATAAATGTCTTGAATGTCATTGGAGATGTGGGTCTAGACCTGGGAACACAAGTGGGGGAAATAGGTTTGGGAGCCATTTGAATGGTGCTCTTTGTCCAAGGTCAGAACTGAATGAAATGGCGAAGGGAGAGTTGTGGAGAGAAGCGAAGAGAGGTGAGGTGAAGATGACACGTTGGGGCACACCCATTGGAGGGGTCTGGAAGAGAGTGACAAGCCAGTCAAACAAGAAATATTTCTGAAGTGTGCACTGTGCTAAGTGCTAGGGATGTGAAAAGAAACAAAAGAGCCCACTGAAGGGGCAGAGAACTGACAGGGCTGCAGGAAAAGAAGTAGGAGAATGGGTTTTCCAACCAAGAGAGGACATGGTGTTAGTGAGGAGGCCTAGTCAACAAGGTCAAATGCCATCATGTGTTTTAGGGAGTATTGGGATAAAAGGGCCATTGGATCTGGGACCTCCCATCCATTGTGTGCTCTCATTTTTTTTTATGCTGTATATTTTTGATGCATTTAAAAACATTAAACTGGGAAAGGGTCCAGAGGCTTCATGAGACTGCCAGAGACATCCATGACACAAAAATGGCTGAGATTGTCTGCATTAGAGGAAAGCCACGAGACTTACCTAGGGACAACCAAGAGAGCACTGTGGGGAAAGCAGGACCGGGAGGGCAAAGGTGCTAAGGCAGCGGGATTCATCACCTGGGGCTGGGGCAGGGCTGGAGCTGCCATCTCCAAACTGGACTCACCCACTGGCTCCTCGTGCTGCAGCTGGGGCTGGCACCTCTGAGGCAGAATGTGGAAAGGAGAGAATCAGTAATGACACCAGGGAACCTTGGGCATTATGGTCCTGACATCACGGCAGGATGTCATAGTTTATTATGGTATTGCCGGAACATGCTCCCAAGACTCTTTGCATATTTACACCAAACTCTTAACAGGCAATATTCCTCGTTCCATCTAGCAGCTCCTGTATGCTCTGATGTTTGACACCACGAATGGTGATTAAAGATAACCTCTCTCTCTTTCCCCCTCCCTCCTCTACCCCACTTTTTACTTAGGTGTTTCCAAGCCAGGATCCTCTGGACCGAGCAGATTTCAATGCTGTGGAATACATCAATACCCTTTTTCCGACAGAACAAGTAAGTTTAGTTCTTTAAATTTTATTCATGGCAGTAGATTGGTTTCCCATACTAAGGTTTGTGATCTGCTTTCTCCTTAGCTACTATGGTGACCCCTTGGCCTAGGGAAGGGTGATTCACAATTCAGAATTAAATATGGGTCAAACCCATTTTTATCAGCTTTGTAGAACAGCCATAGATTTGCTGTGTTGTTGTAGAATTTTGTTCTAATGAGCAAATTGCTAGAAATCATAGTGACTGGGCTTTAAGAATCAACCAGACTCAGCAGTAAATTTGTTAAGTGAAAAGGTATATTTGAGTGAAAGTGAGGAAAGAGGAGCGATACACCAGTGACCCTCCCCATTTTCCTCTGAACTTCTGTTCTTCCTTGGTGGTGTGTTTTATTTTCTAGGCTGCTTTGGTAGTCAGGTGGGCTTTCTTGCAGATGGGATGGGATGGAGTGGGGAGCAGAATCAAAAATGACCTGCTGTCTTTCCTGGTCCTCGTTGCTGCCTTCTCTCTGTGATTGTGGATTGCAAAATCCAGTTTATCTGCCATACATCTTGTTGTTTGCATGTTCTCTCTCCCGGCAGATTGTGAGCTCTTGAGGGTCAGGCCTACCTTTAGCCTTTCTTTATATTCCCAGGCCTTGGCACTGAGCCCTTAAATCTAACTTGCTGACTTGACTCGATGGCAGGTGAATGGGGCTGCCGTGGAAAGCCCGGCCACAGTCTTGCTCTGCTTCCCCTTCCCATCTGCAGAGCAAATGCCACATTTCCATCCTGGAGAGTTACAGGACCACGGACAGGAACCAGGGAAGATGTTTGCAGTGTGACACTATTCGCTGTAGAGAATTTGCAGTTGGGTCCACATGGTAACCTTCTTCTGGAAGATGGGAATATTTTTATCATACAGACGTCTTCTCTGAAATCATATCTCCTGTACTGTCGTTTAATGAGGTGCTGGATCATTCACGCTGAGTTGGGGGCGGGGAGTTCAGCTAATTGTTGCTCAAGGGAGATGAGGATTGGGGTCAGGGGACAAGAGCAGGAGCATTGAGCATTTAGGTGAGACACAAAGCAGAATTTCCTAGGTCAAGGGACTATTTATTTTATTTGGAAGTTGGGATGTAGCTCCTTTCCTAGAGGTATTTAAACAAAAGAATCCATCGTTAGTTGTCTGGGATGAGAACCTTCTAGTTTTCTGATTTCGCCAGATTCTTACTTCAGCCGGTCCCTGCTCCCTTGCTGACGAGCAGAAGATCTCTTCCCTCTGCCTGTTTGTGCTGGCTGCTGCCCTGGCTTTGGTGCCCGTGGGGAGGGTGGGGGGTGGGGTCATGGTTTTTAACCATACCCAGCACTTCATCGGGGCAAGGAACTGCTGAAGAGGGAACTCCTTCCACCGAAAAATAGCAGTAGCTCTTGTGCACCTTTGAGGCTTAGAAAGGGCCATAGGACACTGAGAGATTGAATAATTTGCTGAAGGATCTATCACTCAATAATCAGGATAAAAATAAAAATAATAATAGTTAGCTTTATAGACCTTTAAGGTTTGCAGAGCACTTTACAAATATTGTCTCATTTGGGCCTCACAACTCTGGGAGGCAAGTGCTACTATTATCCCCTTTTTACAGATGAGGAAACTGAGGCAGGCAGCGGTTAAGTGACTTGCCCAGGGTCACGCAGCTAGTAAGTGTTTGAGGCAGGATTTGAATTTGGGTCTTTGGACTCCAGGTGCGGCACTCTAGACAGAACTTAAACCCAGGTCTTCCTAATTTCTAGGCCTGCTCTCTATCCGCCATGCTAGGCTGCCTTTCACACATCTATCTCCTTTAAGAAAGTAGACACTTGACAGGGTCCAGTTGGTTTTCAATTTACTGTCAGTTCCTCTTTTAGCGCTGTGGCCAGAGGTGAACCTGGCTTATTGTTGATGACCTCTTAGGATGGGCTTAGTGGAAGATGAAATGAACTCCATTTTCCTTTAACTTCCTCTTATGGTTTTCTCTGAGTCCTCGGTAGATATACGATATCCTAGAAAAGTAGACCAATTTGGTCATTCCATAAGATTAACAAAAGTAAAAATTTGTGTGTAGTCTTTTATACTCATCTGCTATCCCCTGCTGATTCTCACAACCACCCAACAAAATAGGTAACACAATTATTATTCCCATTTCACTGATGAGGAAACTGAGACTCATAGGAAATGAAATGACTTGTCCAAGGTCACACAGTCAGTCAGGGGCAGAGCTGTGGCTTGGGTCTACCTTCCAAGCCTCCTGTTCTTTTTGCCTTGCCGGTTTGTCTTCCTAGGTTTGTCAAGCAGTTGTGGGGGACCAGTTTAAGAATGCGTTTATGGGGGCAGCCAGGTGGTGCAGCGGATAGAGCACCACCCTGAAGTCGGGAGGACCTGAGTTCAAATGAGGCCTCAGACCAAACACTTGACACATACTAATTGTGTGACCCTGGGCAAGTCTCTTAACCCCAATTGCCGCCCCCTCCCCCCAAAAAAGAATGCGTTTGTAGCAGATTAGAAAGTCACCATAGTTTGACTTTGTACATCTCTCTTGTAGTCTCAGAATGAAGCAGAGGAGTCACATGGAAGTAGTGCCCCAGGGCTGAGAGTTGGCCTAGCAGAAGGTCAGAGGGATCATTGAGGTGTTTGTGCACTGGATTTGGGGTCTCGAATCAGCTCTGCCACTTGGGCGACCTTGGACAAATCACTTCACCTTCCTGGGCCTTGGTTTTCTCTTCTATAAAAGGAGGGGACTGGGCCAGATGTTAACTGAGGTCTCTTTTAGTTCCCAGGGTCGGGGAACCTGCTGCCTCGAGGCCACATGTGGCCCTCTAGGTCCTGGGGTGTGGCCTTTTGACTGAATCCAAACTTCCCAGAACAAATCCCATTAGGAGGAAGGCCGCACCCAGGGACGTAGAAGGCCCTGTGTGGCCTTGAGGCCGCAGGTTCCCCACTCATGCAGTCTAGAACAGTGATCCACTTAATACCTGTGTTGTCTTGACAGGTCCCCTTGCCTATGACTTCAGAGAGTCCTTCCTGCTCTAGATCTGGGAGCCTGGAAGCCTGCAGTGTTTGCCCATTGAAACAGCACATTTCCCAGAATGTCATCTTTGGCGGTGACCTCAGAGGCCACTCAGTCTAAAAAAGAATCGTCCCAAGCAGTCCTCAGTCATCTAGCTTTTGCCGGCAGACCTTCAGTGACAGGGAACTCATCCCCCTTCCTCCCAGAGAGTAATAAGCTCCTAGAGATTGGCAGACACTGCGGCATCTCTCAGCGTGCTCTGCTGAGCAGTAGCGTGAGGAGGGGTAAGGGGTTCAGAGCCTGGCGCTGATGCCTCCTTGCTGAGGCGCCCTTGGGGCTCTGAGTCCCAGTACCTTGTCCATAAAATGAAAGGAATGATAGCCCTTCTGTTCCCTGCCCTCAGGGTTGTTATAGGAAACACCCTGTAACTCTCAGAGCCTTATGTGGGTGGGAGTGTCTATTAAGCCACATCAGAAGGGAGGGACCAGAGAGCACTGGCCTCTGGGTATCTGGTTGGCACATGAATGCTGGAGGCTGGGGCTCAGGCAGGTGGCCCTACCCAGGGAAAGGTGGGGCATTTCCCCTGTGGCCATGCCTGGTGGGGGCAGCCTCCTGCTTGATGCTTTGTCTGGCCTCAGCCTGGATTTGCTTGACACTTATTGCGCAGACATTGAAGAGTCTGTCATGTGTTGGGTGGTACCTGGAGTCAAGGGAGATGCAGAAATGAACAAGGCACCAAGCGTCCTCCCTTTCAGGGCCTGATGGCTCTAGTAGCCTTGACTGGAAACCCACTGCCTTTTGACGTTATGCTAGTCAACGTCATGCGGCAGGCATTTTTTGATTAATTTTTTTTATTTGGTATTTTATTTTTTCCCAATTACATGTAAAAACAATTTTCAACATCTGTTTTAGAAATTGAGTTCCAAAATATCTCCCTCCCGTCCCACTGTCAATTTGGTATAGGTTATACATGTATAGTCATGCAAAAATGTATTTCCATGTTGTCATGTTGTAAAAAGAAAAAGCAAACAGACAAAAAACCCCCCAAGAAAAAGCAGTAAAAAAGTATGATTTGGATCTGTATTTCGACTCCATCAGTTCTTTCTGTGGGGATAGATAACATTTTTTTCATCATAAGTCCTTCAGAGTTGTCTTGGATCATTGTATTGCTGAGAATAGCTAAGTCGTTTACTGTTGATCATCTTACAGTATTGCTGTTACTGTGTACAGTTTTCTCCTGGTTTTACTTACTTCACTTTGCATCAGTTCGTGTAAGTCCAGGTTTTCCTGAGAGCATCTAGCTCATCATTTCTTGTAGCATAATCCCAGTCGTATGCTATAATTTGTTCAGCCATTCCTCAATTGATGGGCCATGCCCTCAATTGCCATTTCTTTGCCACCACAAAAAGAGCTGCTGTAAATATTTCTGTACATATGGGTCCTTTTCCTTTTTTGCTTTTTATCTCTTTTGGAATATAGACCTGGTGGTGGTACTGCTAGGTCAAAGTGGTGTTGCTGCGTGGTTTTATAGCCCTTTGGGCATAGTTCCCAGTTGCTCTACATAATGGTTGAATCACTTCACAGCTTCACCAACAGTACATCCATGCCTCAATTTTCCTATATCCCTTCCAACATTTGTCATTTTCCTTTTCTGTCCTGTTAGCCAATCTGGTAGGTGTGAGGTGGTACCTCAGATCAGCAGGCATTTTTTTAAGTCCTTCTCTAGGCAGTGTGCTGGGCATGAGAGACAAACAGAAGAACTCAAACAACAACAACAACAAAAAAACCTGCGTTCTACAAGTGGATACGAAATGACAATACAGAGAAGTAAATATTCTATAATACGGGGAAGATGGGGAAGAGCAGTGATTAATGAGGGCACTGAAAAAGAGCCTTGGAATGAGATTTGGCCTCTGAGTTGAACCTTAAAGGAAGCGGGGCCAATTTGCCAGTAATGTGGAGCACAGAAGGGGGAATAATGGGAGAGTAATTCGAAGCTGTTCTGGAAAGGTAAGGCTTTAGATGTCAAATAGCATCTTTTGTATTTTATCTTCTAGGCAATAGGGAGCCACTGAGTATTCTTGAGCAGTAGAGTGACAAAAGCAGAACTGTGGAGGATGAATTGGACAGGGAAGAAATTAGAGGCAGGGAGACCAGTTAGGAGGCCATTGCATTAGTGGAAAGAGGTGATGAGGCCCTGAATTGGGTGGTGCAGCCAGAGGTTCCCAAACTTATTTGACCTACTGCCGCTTTAAAAAAAATTATTCAGTGCTCCCCTGAGAATATATAAAATGTTTTGTGTGTGTTTTTTTTTAAAGGATGCATCTTAAATTTAATAATTTATTTTAAATTTGTGGTATTTTTTCCACATTGAAATTTTGATGATGTAATATTGCATCATGTGACTGTATAGTATCATATTGTGCACAAGTCATTACACACATATTCCTGCTAATGTGTACTGGACTTCCTGACAATGCACGACATGCTCACCTGCCAACACCTGCTTGTTAAGACCTGTCGGTGGACTTGACCACTGATTGGTTATAACATGCATTTTGGGTGTTTATTTGGAAAGTAATGTGATCACTACGACTTTAACTCTGTTGTGTTGTGTGGTTTGTCCTTCATTCTCAAAGAGGACCATGACCTCAGTGAGATGATGACATGATTTGCAGTTGACTTTGATTTGAGTGAGGGAGGTCTGTGCAAAGTCACCAGCCTCACTTTCTCCTACAGAACCATCATGGTCCAGTGGCCAGATATCTATCAGGATGACTGGAGATAGCCCAGGATGCAGTGGGTGATCTTGGCCCTTTTAAACTAAGGTGAATAGGTCTCTTTAAGAAGTGAGTCAAGGGATGGCCTCTTTAATAAAAAAAAAAAAATCAAACTGGAAGGGGAAGACCCTCAGGGTTGCTGGCCAAAAGAGAAATAGTTACTATTTACATTCACTCTGAGCCACAACAGATGAAACATGTACAAATGGTTTTTCAAAATTTTCTACTCTTCTTTCCTTATGCTTCCATCACCCCCTTATTTTTATTCAACTGTTCAATGCCTCCCAATTGCCCCTGAGGCTACCAAGGGGCCCCCTCCAGTGTGTTCCAGCACCCCTCAGGGAGTGGTATCACCCACTTTGGGAACTTCTGGTAGAGGAAAGAAAGGATGTAAGAGATATTTCAGGGGGAGAATTGACAAGACTTAATTGCTGATTGAGTATGGGGAGAGAGAGGCAGGAAAGACTAAAGATTCTGAGGGTGTAACTGGAGCGACTAAGAGAATGGTGGTGCCCTTAACAGCAACAAAAACAATTTCTGACATCTGTATAGTTCTTCGAGATTTATAAGTGCAGAGATCATCCCAACAACCCTGATTCTCAGTTTACAGATGACTACCCAGAGAAGTTGTGACTTAACCAGCCTCACACAGCACCAGGTGTCCCAGGCAGGATTCCAAACTAGGTCTTCTTGCCCCCAGACTTTATCCTCTGTGACCCACAGCAGAGGAGTTAGGAGGAGAGGCGGGTTTGGGCTGAAAGAGAATGAATTCCATTTTGGTCTTGTCTGAGATACTGGTGGAGATACTGGATACCTGTGGAGATGGCCTACTAGTGGTCATTGAGAGAGGTCGAGCCTGGTGGTGTAGCTTGGGAGTATTCTGGTATCGGTACCCATGGGAGCAGATGAGAGAATGTGTGGAGAGAAGAGGAGAGGGCCCATGGCACACATGTGCCCAGGGGCCAAGGCCATGGCGGAGAATCCCATAAAGGAGACTGAGAAGAGCTGAAGGAAAGAGGCTCCCAAAGGAAGGCAGGCTTATCAGTGTCTGCAGCTGCAGAAAGGTCAGAATGGTGAGAGGAGGCCATCAGACTTGGAAGCTAAGAGGATATGGCGCCCAGTAGGAGTCGGTGCTTTGGTCTGATTCTGTCACAGAAGTTTAGGAGTCGATCTCTCCACACCCAGCCTAAGGTTCCTTAGAAAAAAAAAAAGAACTTGGAACCAGAGACAGAGCCTGATGTTGACCATGCCCTCCATGCCCCCTTTTCTCTGCTCTTTAACCTGTTGACCCAAGGTGCACAGGTCTGTGTCGACTAGAGGTCGATATAGAGGAACCTCCCAAAGTGCAGTTAGTAACACTAGAATCACATCTGATCACACCTCTGGTCACGGACGATTCTCTCTATCATACAAAAGTTCATAGGACTGGGGGTGGGGGGAGTTGGGGGATGTTATCCTCACACTAGGCCCACTATTACAATGGCATTGCATAGAAGATGTGCTCAAAGGTCACCTGTTAACATCCATTTCCAGGAAACCTCAATGAAGAGAGAACAAAATTAACGTGTCATGGCTTGTTCAGTTTCCTTTAGGGTCAGTGTTTGTTGTTAGAAGCAGGCAAAGTTTGGAAACAGGAACTGTTGTTTGTGCCCCAGGGCACACAGATATTTGTTGGCAGTGAGTTAGAGGGATTTGAACTGGGAAAAGAGTAGATCAAGGTGTGGTTTAGTAATATTGTAAGAGTGAGGGTATATTGTGGGGGAGTACTCTAAAAAAAATGAATGGCAGAATCTTATCTGCCTAGGAGAATTTAGAGAGCATCTGACTTGAATAAAGAATGGGACCTGTTTAAAGAAAGGTATGAGCTCAACTGAGGAGGGAGCCTTTTCTGCCTGGTAATTCTTCAAAGGATTATTTGAAGAGAGATGACATTGTTTGTTCAAGGTCACCCAGTTAGTGAGTGGCAGAGTCAGGATTCAGATCCTTGAACTCCAAAACCGGTACCCCCTGAGCCTTGCTGCCTTTCCAGCATAAGCAAGACTTTTTTTTTAACTCTGAAGATAGCTACCAAGGAGATTGTAGAACGTTCTAGAATTTTCAAAAGTGAAACGGCAACACTTAGCTCCTGTCATCCCTCGATGCTGGCTGATGGCCTTCGATGCATCTAGCAAGTTTTTGATGCAGGCTGCAGTGGATGGAGGATCAGCACAGAGCTGATTGGCTCTGATCTTTACCGTGACTCAGATTGTGGCCTTGGAGATTTGAATCTTGACTGTGTCCGCACTTGTGACCTCAGAGAAGTTGCCTAATGTGCCTGTGTTTTCACTTAACCATTGATAAAGTGCTGCAGATATAGTGTGAAGGAAAGACGATCAAAGCTCCACAGGTGCCAGGGGCCAGGCCACAACGGTGCCCAGCCAGTTCTCCGTGGTGCCTGGTATTTCAGGCTCAAGGTTATGGCCAAGGTTCTCACTCATTTACTGTCACAATCACTTGAAAGGCATTCTTGCTCTGGGCAGCAGTAGGGGCCAGCCTTACTGGGGGCTTTTGGAGGCTTTCAGCAAGCTTGGCCTAGGTAATCTGTCCTTTCCGGCTCCAAATCTGTGATCCTGCAACTCTTGGCTGATGGAAGACCATAACACAGCATGCCTCGTAAGGATTTTGGACATGGCCCCGTAGCTAGTGGGGAGCCACAGAGTACTCTTAGTAGTTGCACTAATGGTGTCATGCCCGTCTTTCAAAAGGACCAATTGAGCAGGCATCCATAGGATGGACGGGAAGTGGAGAGGATTCAGGCGAGGACACTGGTTGTGAAAAGGCCATTATGGTAACCTGGGGGAGAGCTAAGGATGGCCTGAATCAAGGTGTTGGCTGTGGGAAGGTTCGGGAGGGGCCAGAAATCACAGAGCCTCAGAATTGGCAGGAATTTCAGAGGCCACTGAGCCCGTACCTGAGCAAGAATCTCTTCTCTGTTTCTGCCAGGGATGTCATGGATGGAGAATTGACAAGTATGTTCAGTCCCTCTGGGTATTTTGATTGAGAATTTAAAATTCTGAGTTTGGGAAGCAGTGCCCTCTAGCAGTGCCCACCAAGCATTCGTTAAGCAGCCCCCGGATGCTGGGCTAGGCATTCTTTCCCCCCTCCCCCCTTCATTTGACACATGAAGAAACTGAGGCCAGAGCAGTGAAATAGCTGCCCAGGGTTAAGTAAATGATGGAGCTGGGACTGGGTCTCCTGACCTCCAGGGGTGACATTCTGTGTGTGTTTCTGCTGAAATACAATAACTTTGGCCTCACCAATAAGAGTAGTTCATCTTATCTCATATATTTTGACTAAAGCTGCCCATGGATTTCAGAAAATCATTAGGAACTGCTTTTGACAGTTTCTTCCCCCTCTTTCTGCATTTTCTTCCACACCCTAACTTTGAAAAGTATGCTTTTTAAACTCCATGTCCTTTTGCCAGCCCCTCTTTGTTATCCACAGCAACAGTGAGAAAGGTCTCTGCAGGCTTGATCAGTGCAGTAGAAAATGGTAAATGGGACTTTTTCATTGAAAGTAGATATTTTGATGTTGCCAGTGGTTTCTTGCTCTGAACAGGCTTGCTGCTGGCTGTTCTGGGCCTCCGTTAACTCATCACTAAAATGAAGGGATAGAACAGTCTGACTCCTCAGGCCCTGCCAAGTCCTCAGCTACCTCAGCTGACTGGTCATCTGGTTGTTGAATGTTTGCAGTTGGGCTTTACATTTGTACCTTTTTGGCTTTACCCACGAGGGGGCAGCATTTCCTCAAATTTTCTGTCATCTATAGTAGCTGAGGCTGAAAGAGGGGACCGGTTTTCATTTCTAAAATAGTCTGTGCTTGCTATTTGTTTTCTTTTGGAGGTTCACAAATGCGGCCTGTTGTTTTCCAAGGAAAGGAAATTTTATTAACTGAAATAACAGCTAGACTGACTCTCTCTTTTTTCCCTCCTTAGTCTCTGGCAAACATAGATGAAGTCGTGAACAAAATTCGATTGAAAATAAGGTACGTAACTCAGCGTTTGCCTTGTCTTCATAGATTGTGCGCAGGCCAAAGCATGTGTTGGTTCAGCTGGTATCTTCTAGATAGTGCATAGCCAGAGGGAACACTGAAATCTCAAGTTTTATCTTGATTTTTTTTTAAGAACCTCACTTTCATCTGAGTTTCTGCAGGATTCTTGTGCCAAAGAAGTTAGCCCTAGGGTCAGCTTGCAATTAGTCATACAAAGAAGAGGGAGCAGTAGCAAGGCTAGCCTCAAACGTTGGATAATAAAAACAAAAGCAGTTCTACTGGATTTTGTAATGAATGATCTAGCTCTTTTCCCTGTGAGCAGACCAACCTGCATTGGGCTTTCTTTAGACTTAGTGAAATAGAGCTGTGCTTACGGCCCTAACATTTATACCAGATGACATTGAAGAATGTGGGCTTTGGGACTTGCCAGGGAGGCGTCAAGGGGAAACCAACTTAGTATTACAAATTATTTTAATTTTATTAAAAATCAACTTTTATGGATATCATTTGTTTTTACATCACTTTTTTTCCCCAGTGTTTTTTTTCCCCCTTTCTACCTCCCAGAGAGCTAGTCCTTTTACCAAAGAATTAAAAAAAGTTCAGCAAAACTAACCAAGTCATCATCTAAGTTGAGTTTTCTGGGCAACATTCCATGCTCATGGTTGGCCCCCCTGTTGTTCCCCTTCTAATCCCTTGCCCTCCCTCCTCCCGAAGAAGGAAGGGTAGTACATTCTCATATCTTTCTTTGGGACTAAGCTTCATCCTTTTAATTTCCCAGTATCCAGTTTTGAGCATGATGTCATTTACATTATTGTAGTCATTCGGCTTTCTTTACCCTGTACAGATTCATATAAGTTGTCTCAATCTTCTCTGTGTTCATCATATCATTTCATGATATTATATAATAGCATATATTTCATTATATTCACAGGCCATGAAAGGCAGTGTAACATAGTGAGAACAGAGGTAGCTTTGGAGTCAGGAAGACCAGGGTTTGAGTCTTGTCTTCCACGTGTGACCATGTGACAGGTCATGTAACTTCCTACGGCCTAGGCCTGTGGTGTCCAACTGAAATAAAAACTGAGGCCTGCATATTGATTTAGAAAACCACAAATTGACATTATCTGTGTTGTATTTTAATTTATTTTGTTAAACATTTCCCAGTTTCACCTTAATCTGCTTCTCTTCTGTGTTTTGCATAATGGAGTTTGACAGCTCTTTAAGATTATAAATTATAGAGAAGTTACTCACTTGCATTGGCTATGGGAATTTGTTCACCCGGGAGTTGCTTGCACCAATGAATGTCTCCTATGATGTACCACAATTTGTTTAGCCATACCCCACTTGATGGGCATATGCCTTTTTCTAGGTCTTTGCCACTACAAAAAGGGCTGCTCAATATTTTGTTGTGTATGGGACCTTTCTTTTGATTATTGACCTCCTTGGGGTATGTGCCTAGTAGTGGCCATGGGATTTCTAGGCCAAAGGGTTGGACAGAGCTGATAGGCCCTGCCCTTCTCCCTGCCCAGGAAGTGGCCTAGCTGTTTGAGGTTGGCACTGGGCCTCCCATTCTTAGGTTACTTACATTTTCAATGAAGGTAATGTTCATTTTGAGTCTAGGGGATTTTTTCCCCTTCATCTGCCTCTGAGCCTTTGTAACCTGTGCCACTAATAAATTTGAGTAGGTTCACAATAATAATAAGAGCTGACTTTTATTTGGTGTTTTAAGGTTTACAAAACGCTTTGTGGACATTATCTCATTTGTTGTTTGCAAGAACTCTGTGAGGTAGGTATTATGGGTAATATTATTCCCATTTTACAGGTGGAGAAGTTGGGATTCAGATTGTGACTTGCTCAAAGTCACCCAGGTAGTAAGTGTTAGAAGTGGCATTTGAACCCAGGTTCCAAGTCCAGTGCTCCTTCTACCATACCAGAGCAACCCAGCAGAGGTACTTTCTGTGGCTAGTACCGAACTGTAAGGGACGTCAAGTGTTGTGGACTTATGGCAGCAAATTATTAGTGGAGACCACACTGTCTTCCCCAAGGTGTGCAGAGACACTGGGGGTGATCCCAGTGATGACCCCCGGCTTACACCCAAACCTTCATGCCGGTCCTCATCCCTGCCCCATAGTTTTTATTGGTTCTTCATACAAGAAGTACAGTTATTCAGTGAGATCCCATGGACTGGCTGACATTGAACAACAGTGGGTACGAAGCCTTCACTGTAAAGATCCACAGACTGAATTCTTGGGCCTGGATGATGGAGAGCTGATTCCGGGCTGTCTCAGCCTCCTTCAAGGTGTTGAACTAGCCAGACTGTTCAGGACCAGTTTTTCTTTTGAGTTGTTTAGGTTATATGTCCTGTTGCCAAAGAGGGTCATTGTCTTCGTGTTCCTTGTTCTCAGCTCTCAGCAGACTGGCCTGTGTGGGGAAGAAGAGGAGTTGGGCCTCTGTCTTTCGTTCCTTCATGTTGGAATCTGAAGCCAATGTAGTGTTTTTAAACAAACAAGACAAGACAGCCACGGTTTCCAGGGACTCTGATGGGCTCCCGGCATCCAGGCTGTCACTGTTACCATCACTGTCATGGCCTGGACCTCCCTCAGCCATTTGTGATTATTTCTTTTTTTAAAAAAATCCTTTAGGTTTTTTTTGGGAAACAGCATGGAATCTGCAGGCGAGAAGCTATGCAGTAAATTACAGAATACTTCTGACTCCAGTCTGCCCGAGATAGAGATGGTTTTGATGAATCATACCATTTTATTTTCCTGCCAGGAGACTGGATGACAACATTCGAACAGTAGTGAGAGGTCAGACTAACGTGGGGCAGGATGGAAGGCACGTAAGTAGTCTGTCCCCCTGCCTGGCTCTCAACCTTGTCTCCCTTCCTCTCCTCCTCCCTTACCCCCAAAGGCCTTAGCCACTAAATGACCAATAGGCTAGGCTCCCTTCTTATAAAATGCTCTTCATGCTGAACTCTCCCACAGTCAGGAAGCCATGACTGTGCCTTGTGTCTCCAGTAGGAGGGCGGGTTGTGGCAAGCCTCCTTGGTATTGTCTTTTTGTTATTGACACCCATAGCAGGATGGCTCCCAAGCACAAAAGGGATGGATGGTCTGTGGCTGTGGAGGTATGGCCTGAATTCCTCTAGCTCACCTTCCCTGGCATCACACATCTCCTGTGCCCTCCCTTGCTATCGGTGCGGCTGCTGGATGAGACCACAGAATAAATGCTTGAGACCTTTCCTGATATTTCATCTCTGAAGTGTGATCTGGCCTCCAGTTCTCATACTGCCTGACCCAGGAGAAGAGAGCTCATACTGAATGTATCCACAAACTTCCCAGCTCGGGAGGACAGTGAAAGGAGCGGGGGGAGGGGACAGCCAGATGACAGAAAGGCCAGGTGGTAATCTGGGAATGATTTCCTGTGCAGTTAGATTTTATTTTATGTATCTTGACATTCAAGGTAGATGCTTGGCCTTGGAGCCTCAAAGACTCCCAAAAGTCAAGGTCTGTGTGCTCTGACACTCATTGGCCAAGTGGCCCTGAGCAAGTCACTTCCCTGGATGCCAGATGGCTCTCAGAGATTATAAATCAGTCTGCATCTGTGGACCAGTTTGCTCACTGGGAATGATCTTCACAAAGGAAATCACAAATGTGAAACCCCCAAGAAATGTTCTTTTAGGAATCATGGTCACAGCAGAATACACCTGAACTTCATTATTTCTCCTTTACTCTTTTCCTCAATAGTCGTTCAGTTTCTTGAGGGCTGGGATTATTTTGCTATTGTCTTTGCTATCTCTACAACTAGCACAATATCTGACACGTAGGCATTTAATAAATGTTTGTTGAAGGAATGAATGGATGAATGAATGAATTCTCAGTTCCCTTTAGAATTACTTCCTTTTTTAATAGTCCCAATTCTGTTGTGTATTTTCTTTGATTTTCTTTAGTTGATACTTTCTTATTTAAAAAAATATGGATTCACTGTGTTTGTCCCACAATATTTTAATACCATTGACCACTTACTTAGGCCCTCGTAATTTCTGCCCTTCTCCTTTTAATGTTGCCAGTAGACTGTAAGTTCCTTATGGACTAGAAAGTGGTCCTTTTGGTACTTGGGTACCCACCACGGTTCTTGACATGTGATTAAAGGACTTAGTGGTCTCTTAGATTCCTGTTTACTTTTCTAACTGCTCTCAGAAAATTCCTTCTTGCTACTAGGAATCTGGCAGTCAGGTGTTAATGAGTCTCTTTTGCATTTGTAGTTTTATTTATGCTTCTTTTTTTTCCATTCTAGAAAATGAGATTTTCTTCCATCTTTACCTCTCCCTTTACAGAGCTATCTTCTTCCATTTATTTTTTAACTTCTTTCCCTGGTAGATAGAATGAATGCTTCTTATAGGCATCATCTGAGGGCTGTGTCCCATTTCAGCTTCTTAAACTGTTTGCTTGATCCATAGTCCTAATTGCTTGTATTTTTGGTTTGAGTAATTGCGCTCCCTGAAGAGCCTCCATTGGACCTGGTGGATGGGGTCTATGCCAGTGTGACCTTTGGAGGAAATGAATGGGCATAGTGCATGAAGCAGTCAGGTCCCACGCTGGGCCCATGAATTCAGCTATGAAAGAATGGAAATCCTTTAGAATAAGCACTGGGATCTGGATACAAGTGCAGGATAGTGCTTCTTTGAAGCAGCTTAGCGCTGGATTGGGGTCTGAATGTTCACAGGTTACCTCCTTTAGTACTGTTTGGAAAGGGAACGCTTCGGCTTGCTGGGACTCGGCCAGCCCCTGTTACCACCAGCCTGCTGGAGACTTAAGCATGCTTGGAAGTCTCTGGTACTTTGGCTCTAAATGTGTGAAAAAGAAAGTGGGTGCTTTATTAGGCTTTTCCGTCATGTTGTGCTTTGTAGATATAGAGTGGGTAGGTATTTATGTTTAATCTCCAGGTCTCTTTCTCTCTCTCTTTCTCTCTCTCTGTCTCTGTCTCTCTGTCTCTCTCTCTCTCTCTCTCTCTCACACACACACACACACACACACACACACACACACACACACACGCAATTCTTAGAGGTCTGGTCTGAAAATTCTACAGGGGCAGGGCAGACATGTTGGTGTTTCTCCCCCAGACCCCTCCAATACTCCCAGGTCACAGGATGCTACAGTAGACAGTTCCTCTTTCAGAGAGCAAGACCACATTTGCAAGAATGTTTAAATAGCATTTCAGTCTGCGATGGAATTGTCTCTTCATCTCCTTAGAATCCAGACAGAGGAAGCCCAGGAAAAGTAATTGCTTTTCCTCTGATCTCCTCCATCCGTCTTTTTCCAGTCGCTTGTGTGATGCAAGCTGAAGTTAAAAGCTGTTTTAAGGGAGTTTTTGGATGGAGTCCTTGTCAGCTCGTGGGGGCGAGAGCCTTACTCTTGTGCACTGGCTGTCTGTTGGTCTGGTGAAGGGAGGCTTTGTTTGACTAACACATACTTGGTGGAATTAGGACTTCTCCAAAGTGGGACATTTTATAGAGTGAGAGGCCCTGTATTTCCCTTTCCCCTTGAACAGAGGAAAGTTCACTTTCAGAACTCTGAGTGACTTATTTCATGAGCATTTGAGGTGCACCCTCAAATCAAAGTGGAGGCCTTAATGAGAAGGAAGGGAGATAGGTTTTTCTAAAGGGAACCTTGAGAAGTGACTGGCTTTGTTTGAGCCAGGGCAGACCGGTTTTTTAAATATCTTCCTTCAAGACCTGTAGGGACAGTGTCTCCTATGTCTTGGGTGTCCCTCTTAAGGCACATAAATTGTCAAAGAACAATTGTTAACTGACTAGCTACCACCCTTTATAAACAACCTAAAATCCTTTGTCTGTGGCAGATATATGCAGCCTGGCGGTTGCATAGCCGTCCTCTGGAATGGTGTGCCAGGACTAGCCTTATCTGCTTTGGTCTTTAGCTTAGAGCCTATCCACCTACTCCTCCCTGTGCCTCCCAGGAGGCCTGGAATGCAGGAGGTGCTTGGTAAGGCCCTAGAGCCCAGCACACTGTCCTCTGGAGGGCCTCTTGGAGCAGCTCTTCTGTGGGAAGCTCTGGTTTATATTTTATTTTGTTTTCTAAATGATGTCATAGTGAGTTACATCCTTTAGAGCTACTTGACATTTATGAAGTAATCATGATTCCCTTGGCCTTTGGTTGAACATGTTGACCTTTTGCTGGTTTAGACTGAGTATAATAAATAATAAGAAGTTATTTAATATTATACTACTGATATCATAGTAATATTAACAACATGCCATATTTGCGTAGTATTTTATAGGTAAAGAGAACTTTTGTTCCATTATATCATTTGATCCTCACCATAGCCCTGTGAGAAAGACAGCTGTAAAGATTCTTATCTTCATTTTATAGAAGGGGAAACTGAGGCCCAGAGAAGTTCAGTGACTTGCCCAAGGTCACACATTGAGTAAAATAGCAGAGTTAGGATTACAGGATCATAGATACTGAGCCAGAAGGAGCTTTACTGGCCACTGCTTTCTATCTCCTCATTTTCCAAATGAGGAGCTGAGTCTCAGAGGAATTGAGGTGAAGTGATTTGCCTCATATCACACAGATAGTAAGTGGCAGAGCCAGGATTCACACCCAGAGCTTGTGATTCCAAATTCAGCACCTCTTCTACCATCTTTGGACTCCTGGTCCAGTGCTGGCGGCATGTTTCCTGCAACCTATCAAACTCATTACCAAGTCTGTGCTCCACTTACTTTCCCCCTACTCTTACTTGTTGAAATGATTATCATATTCAAAAATTAATGGTCTATGAGACAGTTTGGGTAAAGTGATTATGGTGTCAAAACAGACACCTGGTCCTTGGTGTAAGAGTGTTATAGCTCCTCAGGAGCGGACCCACACTAGTGAGGCCTAGTGGAAAGCACACTGGACGGGAGCTTGGAGTTTGGGTGTGACTGTGTAATCACAGCTACACCATTTACCCTCCCAAAGCCTCATTTGCTGACAGGGTTCAGTCCTCTGTGCGATACCTACTTCCTAGGGTTCTGAGGAAAGCTCTTTGTAAAGCTCACAGTGTGATGTATACGTGTGAATTACTAGTGTCAGTAACAGGGGTATTGGGTGTGTTATGGCTAACTTATCATCATCAATATTGTTATCATTAACTCTAGGAGCAGCCAAGTTTTGTCCAGTTCCCAGGCAAGAGAGAGAAGGCAGCTGAAGAGCAGCCAGGGGGCATGGCCACCGGGAAGCTGGGGCCTGAGAATGATGGCTCCTGGGCTCTGGCTCTGCTCTTCATCACAGCCTTAACACAGAGCCCTGAATTGGGAACCGAGAGGCCGTGGTGTTATGCTGGCCTTTGCCACTGATGCACGTTGTTTCCAAGGATGTGCTGCTTCCATTCTCTTTCATTTTCTACAGATAAAGAGGCCTGCCAACACTGGCTCTCTCAGGAGAATTCCCTGGAGAAGCATGTTACCCTCCAGGGAAAAAGTGAGGCATACTTTCCATCTTTAGAACCAGGACACTGTCTGCTTTCAGGCATACAAGCAAAAAAAAAGTTTTTTGTTGTTTTTTTTTTTTTTAAGAAAGAAATATCTCCCAATCTACACAGCCTTGATCTCTTTATCCAGATTGAGAATTGGGTATAAATAGGTATTTGACAGCATGAAACCAACTTGAATGTATCCAAGGATATGAGAGGGCATCTAGGTGGTGCAGTGGGCAGAACGCTGGGCCTGGAGTCAGAAAGACCTGAGTACAGCCTCAGATACTCACTAGCTATAGGAGCCTGGGCAAGTCATTTAACTTCTGTCTGCCTTAGTTTCCTCATCTGTAAAATGGGGATAATA